TGTGTAGTGCCTTACTCATCAGCATGAATATTCTCCTGAGAGTCGTCAGATATTTGGAGAAAGTCTCCAACATGACAACAGAGACCAAAATAAACACACAGAAAAGGAATTCAGAGAAAAAGAATTATAGTATATGGAACAGAAAAAAATTCAATTAAAAACTATAATTAATACCCTTATCTTTAGATAAGATTGTAGCCATGAAATAAGAATACTATGCTACAAAAAAAAAAGAATCAAAACAAACACTTAAAAATTGAACATTATAGTAGAAACTTAACAATTAAGTGGGAGGGTTGGAAGATAAAGTTGAGGAAATATCGAACCTAGGAAAGATAAGAAAATGAGTGAGTCTATAAGGTTTGTAGCTGTTCAAATTCCAGAACAGAAGAACAGAGAAATTGGAAGGTAGAAAATAAAGAATTAATGCAAGAAAACTTTCCAGAGCTGATGGACACTAGTTTCTAGAATGAAAAGAAGAGTATACTTAAGACAGAGCAAATGAATAGAAAAAGTCTCACATACAAGGCATGATATAATGCAGTGTTGGAAGGCCACGGCTAAAGGGAGGATTTTTAAGTGCTTCAGAAAGAAGAAATAGGTCAGTTACAAAGGCTCGGAAATTAAAGTGCCATCTTCTCATTAACAATACTAGAAGCTAGAAGACAGCAGAGCAGTACCTTTGCAATAGCGAGGGAAATAATTTCCAACTCAGAATTCTCGTCCCATATGAACAATCAAATCAAGGGATAGTATAGGCTAATGACATTTTCTGACAGGTAAAGTCTCAAAAATGTGACCTCACATGTACACCTTCTCTGGCATTGTCATCGTAGCCAACACTTACACGTAGTGCTCATGCTGGGCTTAACTCCAGCACTTACAGCGACACTACGAGATGGACACTACTATTTTCCTGTTTATAAGTGGGGAAACCGAGGCATAGAGAAGCAAGGTCTCAAGACAAAACAGGTAGTCAGTGGTGCAATTGGGATTTGAACCTGGGAAATCTTGACTGCACCGTGTTATACTAGCTGTGCTTGAGGATGTCCTCTACCCAAGTGAGGGAAACAAACGAAAACATCCGGGAATCGGGATCCAGCACAGAGTAAGGTGAGAGGAATTCCCAGGTGAGAGGCGAAGGGCTGCTCCAGGGCGGTTGCAGTACAAGTAGCTCTGGACTGGAGCAGAGGGGCGGAGGGCTCCGGGAAGAAATGGCAAAGGTTTCATTACCTGGTGTGTTTGGTCATATTGACAGCAGTCTCACTGTTGGAGAATGGGTTAGACAAGCAAAAATTGGGGGGAAAATGTGAAAGGAGAGGTTATCACAATACAAGATGTGGCTCTGCTTTGAATGATTTTCACGTAGCCTTTGTGAGGTAAACCCTGGGTTTCACTACCTAAACAGTTGTGATTTGGGGAGGGCCGGGGAGAGAAAGTGCCTTTTAAGGGTGTGTGTGCATGTGTGGGCCAGTGGGCGTGGTGTGAGAATAAATCCTCAGCCTTCAGAGTAGCAGGTCAGTTGGTAGTATCTGAAACAGAAAAACCAAGCACTGTCAATACAGTATTTAGGAACATGGCAGTAAATACCAGAGGAAAACACTTAAAAGATCTGAAAATAGTTGCCTCTAGGGGGGTCGAAAGAGTGAGGCAGAGGACTGCTACTGTGTGTTGGAAGAATTGTGTGATATTAGCCCTGGTTCACGGTGGGAGCCAAAGTTCTTCTAGTCTTCCCACACGTCCCCTCCCTTGCTTTATCTTCTCCACAGCACTTAGTCATCATTTAACCTTTTTTTTTTTTTTTGGCAAATTGTTTTTCTTGTCTTTCTTCCTTTATTAGCATATAATCCCAGTGAGGATGGGGATTTTTTTTCTAGTTTGTCCCCTACTGTATTCCTAGAGCCCAGAACAGTGCTCAGCACATAGTAGGCACTGAATAAATATTTGTTAAATAAATGTATTTATTGCCTTTGTGAAAATAAAAAGTCTATTAAAAATGCCACCTGTTTTTAAGCTATTTGCGTGCAATAAACTGAGCTAAGCAGCTCGTTGTTTTCCTGGCGTAAGCAATTTGAAACTAAGACCCTGCAGGCTCTAATTGAGACTATTTGTTTCCATCTGGGGAAACAGCCATATGCTGTCCTGAGACAGCACCTCGAAAAATCTGTGCTATGTCCTGTCCATCCTTATTGCAAAAATGTATTGTAATGCTCTGGGTAACTATTTATGAATCAATCTGTTGAGCTTCACTACTTTTTGGCAGCTAAGATGTCAGGCAGAATACTACTATATATTTTTAAATCATAGAATTCGGTTAGTGAGTGTAAATAAGCATCACAAATGTCTTCTGTAAGGAGCATACACCTACAAATCCAGTTTTACAGCGTAAGGAAAATCACCTCCAGCAGGCTTACCATCCATTTGCCTTCTACTTGGTCCTGACAGTTCCTGCCATGTTTGCGGCTGACTGAAGCTATTTGTATTTCATCAGGGTGGTGTTTTTCCTAGTTTTGCCTCTTCTCACTTACTCCTCCAGGAAACTTAAGATGCCAAATTAGTGATTTCACCTGTATTTCCATGGTTACAGATCACAGTTCTCATATACATGATTAGAATTCACAGCAGGAGAAGCTGGGCTATGAGAAGGAATGGTCTTTATCCTAAAGCAAGTACCTGATTAGCACAGGGAACAAAAAAAATGAACAGCAAAGCAAATTACATGTTCTTTTTTTTTCTTTGCTTGCGGATTTTTTTTTTTTCGACATCAGCTGAAAGCTAACCTCCCTCCACACCCCTGATTCTTAAAGAGCATAATATAGGCAATTCTTGAGTGCACAAAGCACTTTAAGTGAAATATTTCAAAATCATGTTTCTCCGATGTTGAATCTGTTAGACTATAGCTGAATTCATAGACGTGTAGTCGTCCCTCAGTATCCTCTGAGGATTGGTTCAGGGATTTCTCCAGATACCAGAATCCACAGATGCTCAAGTCTCTGGTATAAAATGGCTTGGCATTTGTGTATAACCTATGTGCACATTCTCTCATATACTTTAAATCATCTTTAGATTACTTATAATATCTAATACAATGTAAGTGCTACATTGTAGCTGTATTTACACTGTATTAATTTTTATTTTTTATTATTTTTTCCAACTATTTTCAATCCACGGTTGGTTGAATCTGTGAGCACGTAACCCATGGATACTCAGAGGCGACTGTGATTTATATTTGTATTGTGTACTTACTATGGGGCTAAACAGATTTTTCAGGGATTTTTTTGTTGCTGTTTTGTTTTTGGTGATTTCACTGAGCTTGAGAGCTGTTTGAATACTTAGGTTACAAAATAAGAGTTATACATACCTATGTTATATTAGCATACATTTTGAGGCAATTTTCATGCTTCCTTCCCAGATTTCCAGATGTTCTCTTCTGTTATTGGGTTGTATAACTGTGGCCACATACTGTGCTCTTCCCACTGGGTCATGAAGCTCTTTCTTATTTAATGAGCAGCTGATATTTCAATGTATCATTCTGAAGCAAGAAAAGGAATTTTGGGGGAATACTAGTTAAGTAGCAGACAATGTGCACTTTTCATATTCAATATCATAGCCTTTGGCCTGTTAGAATAGGATTTCATTGTTCTGGTTATCTTTGTGAACCCAAGGTGGGAAACCTTAAGATAATTTATGCCAAAAGTTACTTTGTTAAAGGAGAAAATTTGTAGGCTGATAGATAAAACTGTTCATAGGATTCATTGCTGGTTACAAACTCTTCCCAAGATTGTTTTGGAGAGAGATCTATAGGGGCATGTTGCAGGTTTCTGCCCTTGTCCCTTGCCTGCTTGCAAAGGACGTTGGGTATTTGGATAATGACTCAGAGGACCTGTTTACACAGTGATGGATGAGAAAGCTAAGAATAATAACTAAAAACTAAATGTCACCTGAGGGTTTTAAAAGATCACAGACCAAAGGATGAATTAAAAGAGATTGGATGAAATTTAATAGAGTTCTTGTTATCAGTTTTTCACTATAAAGTTAAACACTGGAGAAGAACTGGTCAAATTGCAGAAGTGAGAGAAAGCATTTGAATTTTGTGAGGTCAAGGGGAATTAGCTGTGCGTATTATAGTTGTCCAGAAAGAGTCAAAGGTCATGGTTACAGATGCCCAAAGTCTAGAGCAAAGGTGCGCAGTCCCTGCTTCTACTGAATTCTGCAGAACATTCAGAAGACCACTGAATCTGAATTTTCCAGAAGTAACCATTTTCCTGTATTTCTGTTTGTCATTTCCTTGCTTTTCAAAAACAGTTCCACCATGTTATGTGTGTATTTCTAAGCAATATATTTTTTTACTTCTTTTTGAATTTTATTAAAATGGTATAATAGTGTATGTAGTAATAGTTCAGTGCCTTTTACGTTCAACATTGTTTCTGAGATTCATATATATTGGCCTTTCTCAACCAGAGTTCCTTATCTGGTCCATAGAACACAGAAAATAATTTGGCTATTTTTTCAATTCTCCCAAGGGTGATACATAAGTAATCCTTGAAATTTTAGATGCCTAGGAGAGAAGTTACCTCATTACATACAATGGATGCTTTATGCTGAGCAGTTTAGAGCTTAATTCTCTATTGGAACGTGGTTGAGACTCGTTGAATTGTTACATGCAGCTATAGTTAATTCATTTTTACTGTTATAAAATATTCCATTTGGGAGCACATTAAAGTTTATTCATACATTCTTCTATGGATGGAAATTTGGGTTGTTTCCAGTTTTTTTGTTTTGTTATTATGAAAAGTGCTACAATGAACATTCTTGTGCATATCTCCAAGTGCACATGAATAAATGTTTCTCTGAATATACGTCTGAGTGAAATTGCTGAGGACTGCTGCGTTTTAATGGGCACGTTGACAAACTGGAGGAGGGAGTCCAGAGAAGGGGAAGGGCAGTTAAGAATAATTAAGCCATATCATAACCAACCTTTATTTTCTTTACTTTCTTAGGGGTTGAAGAGGTTAATGACCATTTGCCAGAAACACTTTCCTACAGATCCATCAAAATGTGTGGAGTACAATGCACTATGAGATCTGTGTATGGTGTGTAAACAACAATAAGAACCTTAAGGAAGCAGGGTATGGACTTTCTGGAATTACCAGCAGGAATGAGGGAAGAAGAAAACTGGAGTTGCCAATCTCTGAGTTCTATCTGATGCCACTTGATTGGTTTTAAGAACTGTGATGGCTTTCATATCACATCTGACTACAAACTGATTCTGTGTCTTGCCTTCATTTTAAATAGTCAAAAAATTAAGTTCTAAAGACTTTTTCACAGTTTAAATGTGTAGACAACAGAAAAGGGGGTTTAAAATGACCTTTTCCCCCTAGACTTCAAAGAAGTGGTTAGATGATTAAAAAGAAACATTTAAGGATAGACTTAATGGTTTTGGTAAAATATATTTGCATATTGTCTTTTATGTAATATTTATAAAAATATTTTTATATATTTCAACAAAAAATATGGAACCATTGAATGAAACTTTATAGTCCTTAAATGTTGCTGAACTTTTGCTGTCTTGCAATAGAATTTGAGTGTAAACGTTATTACAGTTAGCTCAAATGTTGTTTTTCTTGTGTTTCAAAGCTTGCTTTTATCTTCTGAGGAGTGTAAATTTTAATTTTTGTCATGTCTCAGACAAAAAGATTTAACAGTAAGTAGAAGTTTGAAAAAACAAATATGGTATATTATACGAACATAAATTCAAAACAAAGTAACCCCAGGTTCAAGGTGGGGCAATGGGTTGTGAAGCCAGTGGCGGGGGGATTGTGATGATGCTGGTAGACCCGTGGCAGACTTCTTTCCCATCCACACCCTGCCACGCAGGGGAGGAAGGTGCCAGTACTGATGCCACCACCCGAGACAGCATGTCCTGGTTTTGGTTCTCCACAAAGTGAAGACTTGTTCTGATTTGGCACAGTGTCATACTTAGATCGTTGTGACCAATCACCATGCTTTAGACGTTGAGTAGACTCATAGTAATGTGGGTAAATAGGCTGTTACCCGACCAGTGGAAGAGGCAGTTATTGGACTGTGATAAGAGTGGGGGCTCCAAAGGCAGAACTTCCCAGCTTTGCATTTCAGCTCAGCACCTGCCAACTGTATGACCTTGGGCAAGTAACTTAATCTTTCTAAGCTTAGCTTCCTCATTTTAAAATGATAATTATTAATACATTCTTCATAGTGTTATTGTCGTGTTTCAGTAAAATAGAATGCTTAGCACACTGGTGGATGCTAAGAGCTTAGTGTGTATGAGTTGTGTCGTCGTCGTCGTTGTTAGAGGGTTGCCATTGGTTGTCGTTGTCGTCGTTGTTGTTAGAGGGTAGCTAAACTACCTTTGATGAGCCCTGTGGTTAGTGGCAGTTTGTACTCACATGGTGCTAACAATAATGATGATGTTAGCAACAGTAATAATGGAAACATTGATTATACATTTACTGTATGTGGGCCGTATGGTGCCCCGACTTTCGGCCAGTTCTGAGGTTAGAACCGCCTAGGTTGTGGTGGGATCTAGAGGCTGCTGAGCAGGCGGGTGTAGATTCACACTTGTTTATTCCGGCTCCTGTTGGGAAGACTCAAAAACCCGTTTTGGCCACTGTTCTTCAGCTGTGCATAGACAGGGTCGTATCTGCTGGTTACGTGCGTGGTGCTGGCTAAGGTCCACTGGCCTGAGTTGAATGGGGATTCTCTGCCTGCCCCCTCCCACTTTGGAAACCTTTTCTTATGGTTATTTAGCACTTAGGGGAACTTAACAGCACAAATGGAAGACACATTTTTGTAAGATAATAATCTAGACTTTCATCTTGTGGTCTTAATAGGACTTGTTTGTGAATATTGTTGTATGACTACTCCCCAAATTACTTGTTCTTTATTCACAGTCAGGCACAGCGTGATAGTTAATTCCTTGTGGTCCTCCCTTTTGCTGTTAGTTAATATTCCACATAAAGAAGAAACTGGATCACATGACACCAGTACCTCCTAACGTTGATTAGTGTGGTTAGATGGTGTGAAAAAAAAAGGAAACATACTCTACAAGGCTTTGACTGTTAACCATTTGGGGCTGGCGTGGAGGGAAGCAGGTTCAAAGATGGGGATCTCCTCAGAGAAAAGTTTTCCATTTTCCTGAAATTAAAGATCTTCAGATGGCTGTAAATATCCTGAGGATATGCAGAAAAATGACTTCTCCCATTCTCCAAATTGTGAAAATTTTAGTTCAGAAACTACATATTTCTGTTTTTAGCTATTTATAAAACAATAAAGACATACCTTTTAAAATCAATCATAATCCTGAAAGAACTATATTCCTCCTTTCGTTGAACTCCCTGCTTCCCCAGACTCCTGTCCACAGGTGACGTGTATTTCTGGATTTACATTTAGTAAAACATTGGTTTTCCCTCAGAAGTAAATAGAGCATTTCCTAGGAGTGTCATTGCCAACTGCAAAGATGGAGCAGTATTTTTCAGTGTTGCAACACAGAGCCTGCGGCAGTCTGGAAGTCAGGGCTGTGATTTCAGTCTTGGGGGGAATTTAAGAAAATAAAGCTGAGGCCAAAGATAATTGACACATAGGGAGAAACAGGGGACAATCTGGATCTTGTAGGAAGAAGGGAAGGGTCCTGAGAGACCAGAGCTAGGCAGGCAGCTGTCACTAATAACAGAACTTGTGATTTGTGGTGGGCTCAGACGCTCAGGGAGAATTCGGAGGACTAGGAAATAGGATTGATAGCAGTATGACTTTTTAATGCTAAGCTCTTCCTTCTGGCGATTTCCTGACCTATTCCAGCACTTCAGAGCAGCCTAGGGTTTGATCTCAGTAAATAATAGAAATGTAACCATCTTTTTGTTGGAAAGAAAGTAATATAATTTTTTCTGAAAGTAAACAGCTTGGAAAAGACTAAGAACAGTGTTTTAGAGTCTCTGGTAGATTTGAATTTGAGGATTTGTATCACTGGCTCCTTTTTAGCCACACAATGCCCCCTCCCCTCTTAGTGCTTCTTAACATGGAAGGCGGAGTAGAGTGGGCAGTTTCAAGGAAAGGAAGCATTACGTTGAATGCGGCTGTTTCCTTTGTCTGAACATCTCGAGTAGCGTAACTTAATGGATTGTGTCTCCTCTCTCCCCCAGTACACTCCCATGAAGGGCCTGAAGGAATAACTTTATCCCATAGAAATTTATGGTATGGTATCGCATTGGGAGTCTTGAGCCGAAAAGCACTTTCTCACGGCATCTTGATGTAAGAGCTTCCAGCTGTCTAGCGTGCAAGGGCCAGCGCCAGTCCCCAGAGGGTCGCTCTGGGAACACTGTTATGGCAACTGGTTTTCATCACAGACTCTGCAGTTCCTTTGGCTGAATTATAACCACACGTTAGTCCTTTAATGGTTAACAGTGACCTTAAAATCTTTTGAAATTTAAAAATAAGTTCTGGTGGTGGTGTGGCGTGACCAGGGGAATGCAGTATGGCTAGCAGCAGTGGCTGTGGTGTGCGTCGACCCCATTTGAGAGGTTGGAACCATACTCATTAAAATATAGGATATTTTTTACATTTGCCGAAATAGTTTATTACGAAAGCATTGACTATGTATTTTCCCCCATTGTAAGCTCTGGGGTACTTTATACAACTTGCTTAAGCTAATCCTTGTGTTGCCAATGATGGTTAACTCTAACTAGGCCACTTGCTATTGTCTAGTTTCTCCTTCCCTGTCCTTAAGCACTAGCTTTCTCAGCGTTTCCTCACAGCGTTCAAGCTTAACACGTACTTTCATCATGGAGGGCAGCTCAGAAGTTTCGAGCTGCTCTTTGAGTGTTATTGGTGACCTCAGATTCATTCACTGAGCTTCCAGCCGCGGCAGTCGAGTCATCCCCACAGCCTGCTCTCCCTGCTTTTCTGAACTCCCAGTTTTACAGCTTGCCAAAACCAAATGGCCTTTGCTCTCAAACTGCTCTTCCTTTTCAACTTAGGAGATGGTATGACCCATGAGTGTTGCAGTCTGAGCCTGGCTTTCTGAGTTGCTGCCATCCTGGGAAGTAGGAGAGTTAAGGTTGTAGAGTTTGAAACTTTTTAGCCACAACTCACAGCAAACTAATAAGTGCATGGAGGCACAGTATTATATACACACGTGCACGTACAGCTGAAATGAAAGCACCTGCCATCCCATGTGCGAGGCATTCTTATGTTTTCTGTTCTGGTGGGTTGGTTTCAAAAGTATGCTGGTGGTTACCCTCTAAATTGGTTTATAGCCCTTTAAGCTGTGATGACCAGCAGTTTGAAAACCACTGATTAAGAGGAGTCATCAGCAGAGTTAAGGAAGGAAACGACCTTGTTAGATGAATTCAGGGCAAAGGGACTATACCTCTTTTTTATTTTTTTTAATACGAAGATGACATTTGGCTCTCAAGGTTAGTGTGAGATTTAGCAGATTATAAAACCTTGAATACTTCAAATGCTAAATAATTCTGAAGCAGTACATAATTCTTAAGTTTAAAATGGGGAGATGCATGCATAGAGAAGAACCAAGACAAGCAGCATGTAAGTCATCTGTGAGAAAATTGGCAGCCGGGACAGTGTCTGCCTTGGGCTGGCCATACCTTGGTGGGTAACGCAAGATTAAACAAGGTATTATAAAATAAATTGGAGGTGAGTTAAAATATGAGATAGGGTTGAGGTCAGGATAAATATAGGAGTCTAGTATTAGACTGTTAGACTACTACATTATCTGTTAAGAAAAAGTGCTTTGTTCAGCCCTTTGAAAATTATTTTCCAAGACTCAACATACCGCTTGGTTACATTTCCTTTAATGTAAATTTTTATTGGAAATACATATACAGAAAAGCATAAGAGTACTATATCATGATAGATTTTTCACAAAGTAAACATATCCCAAAGTAACTGGCATTCAAATCAGAAAAGGTAATATTATTAATACCCTAGAAATATCTCTTCATGTCTTCTCCTAGTCACAGCCATGGTCCTGATTGCTAACATCATAATTTTAAAACCATCTTTATTGATACATAATTCACATACCGTAAGTTTTCCCCATGTAACGTGTTCAATGGTTTTTGTTACGGTACATTCAGAGTTGTACAACCATCTCCACAGTCAGGTTCAGAACATTTTCATCACTCCAGAGAGAAACCCTGTTCCCATTAGTAGTCACTCTACACACAGTTTTGCCAGTTTTTTAAGTTTACCTGTTTATAAATGGAATCGAACAGTATGTGCTTGACTTCTTTTATGTTTGACTTCTTTGGCTCAGCTAGGGTTTCTGATACTCATGCCTGTTGTGTGTAGTTGTGGTTTGTTCATTCATTGCTGTATCCCACAATTTATCCATTCTGTTGACAGGCATGTGAGTTTCCAGTTTTTGCATGCATTTTTTGTATGCATTCCTTGGTGAATATAAATTT